CTGTAGTGTTTCATAGCTTTCTGATCCCTTCACAATTGCAAATGTATGGTTTCCACTAGCAGACATTACATCATCTTGATTTTGAAGTAGTGAGAACGACAGCAAAATGAAACTAGAATTTCTTGTCATTTGTGCCCCATCACCAGAGATTTTAATCTGGACATTCTCTTTACTCCAATCTACCTCGTCATGTAATTTGATGAATTCATCAACATGAGATTTCAGCATGTCAGTGAATGATATTTGGGCACCATCAGCTTTACCCGGGGTAGGCACAACATTACTGATATTATTTAGTTGCCCTCTTCTCTGCTTGACAAGGTACGACTTTGGCAGACCATCGATAATCATTGTTAGTTCATGATAAAATGAGTCTCCAACACAAAATTTGCCCAGAAGAAACAATGCTTGTTCTACTGTCTTTTGGTCATGATGAGATAAACTATCAAAACCCTTAGTACCATCAGCTGGAATACAAGTGTTGTCAACAGAAAGAGAATGTACTATCCCTGTTTGTTGTTCTCTAGCTTTCAACTCTGTTAACTCTAGGCCAAATGATTTCATAAACCATAGTGCAAGTTTTGCTCGAGACATGAAAGTATTTAGAGTTCTTGATTTTTTGGCAACATGGGCAACATCTTTGCCTTGATTTTTAAAATTGTGCTTTTGTTCAATACGGTCAATATATAATCTAACAGTTCCTTGTTTACTTCATTTAAATTTTTAATTTCCTCATTCTTCTCTTGCATAGCAGAAACCATCTCCAAATAAAGCTTTTCTTTCTCCTCATGAAGATCCTTGTAACTTTGTTTCCACTTTTCAAGTTCATCACAAATGTTCTCATTTTCTCTTTGCAACTCTTTTACAGAAATGGTCATACCCTCAAGTAAGTGAAATCTTCTTACACAGGAATCAAGTTCCTTCCTCTTGTGTCCCCCCTTTGCCTTGTTGTAAGCAGATTTTACCATTCCGGCAAACTTACGCAGAGAAGCGTTGACTTCACTTCTGATGGTTTTGTCTTCCGTTATTCCAAAGGCACTACCAGGGATTGAAAGCTCGAATAAGTCGACATAATCTAAATTATCTTGACATGGGCAGGTATTCTCATTCTCGCCAGCTCTATCTTCTTCAGCTATTTTCTGCATTTCGTTCTGCTTCACCATGTATTCCTGCCATACCTTCAAAAGAGGGTATGGAATACCCACAACAAAAAGGACTGGCCTTGCATTAGGTTTTGCTGCATATGCTAATGAGGGTTCTTCCATGCATAATTTCCATTTAAGTATGGAATCATTTAGAGGAATATCAGACATTGTAAGACACGTTTCTTGCTATGGAAGTTGTATCAGTTTCAAAATATAAAAAATATTTCCTTAACCTTATATTTTCTCAACTTTCCAAACTTTTTTAAAACTTAGAAGTTCAAAGTAGATTTACAATTTGCATTTCCCGCGATTTGTTTTGTTTATGAGCCTGTTTCCCTCGCAGTTGTTAGTCAGCGGCTACTCCTTCGAATGCTTTCAAAATGGCGATAATATAAAGACAGATATTTGGCAAAATTTCCTGGTTTTTTCTTTACTAAATGGCTTTCAATGGCTGGAATGCCATTTTAAAATTTGCCTCAAAACAGAGAATTTTAAAGTCAAAACGCCGCATCGCTACAAGCTATGGTATTCTAAAACTTATACGGAATGAATGCTCGAACATCGTGCAAGAATATTAGACGTGTGCACCTTGTTGGAAAACTCTTTGGGCCGCGCTACAACGAGCTAAATGGAGCAAGTATGAAGGATTTACTGGGTTTAATATAAGCTTATATTGTGAGGAAATATTGTGAATTGAATTCAGTCGCGCCGGATAATGGCAAATCGCGAGGGGTCGAAAACATACATCGATATATTTTCAGGTATTGTGTATTATTTGTAGACGTGTGCACCTTGCAAATCATGCTGTAATCGGTACTGCGCATCGATTTTACAATTATATAGTAGAAAGGCTTAGTATTTCCGCCATCTTGGTTTTGTCAAATTTGTTATTTGTGCGCATAATTATACTAATCGTCCGCCATCTTGTCCGAGATTTCTAGCCATGACCAAACCGGGCAAGCAGAAAATTCTACTTGACCGCGGCTGGGATTCGAACCCGCGACCTTCGCATTTCTGGAACGATGCTCTACCTTCTGAGCTACAAGGTCAAGCTGAGAACGACATGTTAAGTTATGATGTTAGTTGCACTTCGGAGGTTAGTCCTTCAATGCGTAAAGCCAGCTATTAGTCTGGCAATATAAACCGCTACATAACGTTACACGAGTGGAATCGTAAACGTGGGAAACCACAACATTCATATATATATATATATATATATATATATATATATATATATATATATATATATATATATATATATATATATATATAAAAGTTACTGCTGTTTATTTTGTTCTTTCATTGCTATTTCGACCAAAATACAGCAGTTTCATCTGAAAATTCTAGGGCATTCTATTCTAAAAAATCTGGATTTTTAATCGAAAAGAATGCCTTGAATCTCGGCCTGAATTGTGTGCTGAGTATAACTGCAAGGCCAGACGTGGGGATTTAAAAGATGGTATTCGCTTGTCCTTCCATAAGTAAGTCTATGAAAGACACATATCGTATGTTTGTACGCTATAACATACTTCATATAAACAGAATATTAAAATAAGACAGCTTTTAATAGCATAAAAACAATTTGTTTTGTAAATACAGTAATGACAAAAAATGTAGTTTTGAGCTTGTTGGCTGATATAAAACTTTTACAGATTTAATAAAAGAACATTAGACCAAAAATAACTTCTTGTTTTGATGTCTGTGTTAGGAGTCTATATATATATATATATATATATATGCATGTTGACAACAATTTTCATAGAGGTCCTTGTCCTGTTGAATTAAGGTAAAAAAAAGAGTTTTGTTCACATCAGTGAACCAAAAATACATCTTTCCCTTCGCACTATTTAGATTTCCTATAACCAATCCCAGCCGGCTAAAAAGTTGGATAACAGCAATGAAATGGACAGACTGGATGCCAACCAAATATTCAGTATTGTGCGAAAAACAACATACACCCAACAACTATATTAACTCATTAAGTCGCATTGTGCCCTGATGTGCCCTACTTTATTATTTTATTTTGTCTAACGGCAGATGATTTTACTCGTCAAGGGGAGAGTGCTGGCGCTTAATGGGTTAACTG